TGAGTGACTGATCTGCGGGTGTGTATACCCGGTGGAAGGATGTTGACCGTTCGAAGGATGTAAAATCAGAACTGTCTTGGGAGACGATGATGTGTCGGAGGAAAGCTAAGGATGGGTGTGTCTAGCGCACGGGACCATCGGATTTGTTGGTGCCGATGTTAGTTAAGAGAGTGAGGGAAATAGGCTTCGTCGTTAATTGGTTAAACGAAGGGTCTTAACCGCCCTCGAGAGAAAGTGGGTAGTAGGAGGAAAGTTGCATCATACGTGAGAAAAACTAACTTTCCCTTGTCCAGCCGTGGTAGACAATAGTCTTTAGAAATTCTTCGGAAATAGGACCTTTACTAGGAAATCTATGAGATTTATGGAAGGTACTTGAGGCTATTAAGGGTACGCTGCGAGTATCAGAAGACATCTGGTTGCCATATTGCCCGCGGTGTGTGGCCTGGGCTAGGTAGAGTGTTACGCGACGTAACACATTTTTTCCTATCATTAATAGCAGCTGAGATATCCAGATGGGGCTATTTCTATATGCATCACCTTGTGCACATTGCAATGATTTTAATTTTTAAAAATTTATTATCTCTCATAGTAAATGCGTAGAAAACTATTATTTAGCATATAAAATATAGAATTGAGTTTTGTTTTCTGGTAAAATAATGTTCGAAAATATTGTAATATTTTAACATAATTTCTTTTAATTCTTCATTGATATAGCAAAGAAAACAAAGGCACCACTAATGGCAAAAGCTTTACAGTTAATAAAGGGGCGATATAAACGGTAGTTCATAAGAAATTGATTAACATTCAACAATTTAGGTAAGTCATATGTTATGTTACAATAGATGTTAAGTATAATATGTATAAATATTTTATAAGAATTTGTGTATTTCGAACAGAACATATTCATGTGAAGTCCACATACTGCTTCAGGCATTCCGAGATTTACCAAATCGACTATGCCAAAATAATCGCCGAGTGCTTTTGTATTTACTATAAACATTATAATCGTTTCGTCATTGTAATCGTTCAGTTTCGTCAGTTGTACAGTAGAAAAGCAATAGTGCTGAGATTTCTTGATAATGCGAAAATTCGAAACCTTTTATTCCACAAAAATTGAAAATTGTAATATCTTTATAGAAAATTAATCAGTATAAATTGACAATTTCCAAAAAGGTATTATGACATTTAATATTTTTTATGTTTTGAGAGACACAAAAGATCAATTGAAAGGTTTTACGGGGACAAAAAATTTAATTTCGTTTAATGTATTTTATTAATAATGTTACTTAGAAATAAAATAAGAAATTGCAAAAGAAAATGCAAAACTACATAAGTACATAATAAATATGTCCCATTTGTTGCTGTGATTCTCCAATTTTTTTAGATTACAATTGTAAATATTTTTTGCGTGATCTAGGATGATATACATATAACAGTTTAAATGAATATTTTAAGAAGGGGAATGAAATTACAGATGATTATCGATAGTGCTAAGAATGTATTACGTATTTTACATTCTTCCATGAGCCACAGTGAATTTGGAATATGTATTCGTGACAGGGAAGCTGTTGTAGACTTATACATATGTATGTATATGTATATGAAGTTAAAATATATTTATAAATAGTTAATGAAATATGTAATGCATTATAAAGTAATTTCATTATCGTGAAGGGAAAGAAATAAAACTATTAATTATACTTGGAAAATTGTAATAACGAATTATTTTAATAATCAGAAGTAAACATAATCAGTTTATATCTATATTTAAAAGATCGCTGACGCATTTGATACGCTTGGAAATTTGAGGTCACAAAAAAGATTAAAAGCCTAGTTAGATCGATAAACAAACAAACATTAATACAGCGTTTAATATTTTTGTAAATGTTTATTTGAACAACAAATGGTCATCGAACATTCTACGATAATAATGTAATATTGTAATAATGTAACGAATTGTGATTTGTTATAGATATATGTAACGCGAAACATTAATCTTTTTTTATAATTCCTATTATATAACATATAGATGATATAGTATTCATATTGATTTAAATTATCTTTAATATATAATTGGCCGAACAAATTGTGATAATTTTGAACAAATTGTAAATTCCATTAAAGTAAATCGTGTTAAAATGATGTTTTTAAGGAAGTTCGTATTCTGTATTGTATTTAAGCAATTCTATATAGATATATGTAATGAAATAAAAAACTTAATCGGAATGTTAATTCGAACTAAAATGAATTTTGTTTAGAATACAAACTAATTTTCTTTTAAAAACATGACTTTCATAACAGTTTACTCGTTTTGCTATTATTGAAATATATGTGTATCACAAAATTTTTAACGAACTTTGTCAATGATTTCTTTGGACTTAACAGAGGTTTTAAGGGTGAATAAATTTTTGTCATGTAAAGTAATTAAAATATCATATAATAAAAACATGCTTGAAACATCATAAATAGTTTCACATCTGTTATAAATTCTTAAAACAAGCAAGAAGAATTCCATAGACACGTTATATCTTCATTGTAATTAAGAAGAAGCAAACGTTTGATCAATTTGCATTATCATCGTTGCATGTAATTAATTTTAATTAAGTTTATTTAATTTTTTAAATTAAGTAAGTTATTTTCTTAAGAAACGTCGTGTATAATTAGAGCATTATGATTGATATTAGGATAAATGGTAATCATGTACGTAATCAATTTTTTTTGCTGGGCCGGGTTCTGGTGAACGCGCTGAACCTGCCTTGCGCTGGCCCTGCATATGCATATACAGTAACGTTTAAGATAATATATTTAAGTTGTATTTATGATATAAAATATTAGCGATTATGTAAAATATTTTAATTTTGATAGTAAACGTAATTTTAAGAATCAACATGTAGATAAGTTTAGGGAACCTCGGAAATCCGAAGGCTGCATGCAACCATTTGCGTAAAATGTAAACGTTCATATTTAAATATTTGATTCCGCCTTTACATCGATATTGTAACTTACGTTAATTTCTATACCTGTTTCGTTTTTATAATGGTGATTTTACTCTACCGTATAACGCGTAATACATAATGTAGACCGATATTCATAAATGAACTATTTTACATACTACGTTTACGTTCGACTGCTTAGTACGTGTTGTGTGCTAAAATTTCAGGGTTTCAGTTTAGCTGAAACTAATGGATCGAAAATTCGAAAAGTTACATTTAAAAATACTTAACCGTAAAAAAATATCGTCACGTTAAGTTCCTTCAACTTTTTATACACCTACATATTTAGATCGTAATCATCATTGTCAGTGATTATTATTTCTTATATATATATATATATTTTGCTTGAGCAATGGGTCAAAAAATCGAAATCGGAATTGATATTTTCGAATATTAGCGAAGACGTACATTAATGTATGCATGATATTTATTTTTTACGAATCTTTTGTTTACACTTAGGTCTAATAATAATAGGAGAATTAAACTTAAAAAATTTAAAGTAATAATATAATAATATTATATGAAGTAAGAGTATACATACAAGTATATGTATGTTGGCCAAACATAGTTAATTATATTATTCTCAATTATGTTTATTTACGATTAATTTCATTTGAATACAAGAAATTCCTCGTTATACAATTCCTATAATTTGTTAGATTTTCATCTCTCGAATAGAAAAGTTAGATTTGTACATGTATAATAAAAAGCAATAAAACAAATGTCTATCTAAAGCGAAAATATAGCATTTACACAATGTATATATATGTATGAACACTATATGCATTCATGACGTTCATTAATTAATATGACTAATTTATATAGTGTTAACGATTTAAATGTTAAAACGTTTCGAAAAACTTCTTCTTTACGGTTCATAGATCGGCGAAATCGAAGGAAAGGTAAGACTATTAATTTATTGTGATTAATAATATAATTAATTTGTGATCATTTGAAACGATTGAGTTAAAACGTCGTATTCATCGCAATCATTGTTAGATAGAAAATAATGTTCCTTTAAATATTACATAACTTATTTTACAATTTAATGTACGTAATTAATATCAATAAACATTTTTTGATGGAAGTTTACAAATGTTTTTAGGTTTATCGCACCTACCATTAACGTGGAATATTTATTGCTACGTATATTATAGCTACGTTTATATTTTCTGTACTTAACAAAATTAAAATCTGTTTAGATAATTAGATCTATCTTAGGCGATATTAGGCGACATATCCATATATCTTTTATAACTAAAAGAATTACAATAAAATGAAAAATAGAGTGAAATTATTATAAAATAATTGCTTATTTATCCGAGTTTTATATAGTTTAATACATTGCTGTATCATTAATTCATCAAATATTACGCAAAAATCTAAATAGGATCATTTGACTCCAATAATTTTGATATCTTTGCCACACGAGAATATCAAACATAAGTAGTAACAATTACATTATCCGTTCCAATTGAAAATAACGTGAGCGATCATTAAGTACATGGTTATTGTCATAGCACTCGTCAGCATAATTGGAAAGCCCACCCTGAAATAAACGCATTGAAAATTATTTGGCGAAGTAATTAAATTATTATAACACGAAGAATGAATTAGCTACAAGCTCTTGTGAAAATGATATACATTTATTCGCGATTTAGTGTTCAATGTGAATTCGAAATATCATTCACGATCAGAATATACGGTATTTGATATTGGACTAGTTAATAGATATTTTGTACGATTAAAACGGATTAAAATATAAGTCAAATCAATTTTTTCATATGTATGTATAATGTTAAATTATGATATTTATATCAGATATTAGCCTTACGTTACGAATTTAATAAATAAATAAATATTCGCAATTTAGGCAAATTTTTCAAAATGCAACATGTTAAGTAAAGTATTATTAAATATCTGTAATAATAAACTAATAACTGTAGAGGTCCGTAGCAGATATACCAATTAATCAAATCATACTTAAGCAGCAGAACCTTCATAGTAAAAATCAAAGACACATACTCTGAAGTTAAAGAAATCAAGGCAGGAGTTCCGCAAGGAAGCGTCCTAGGATCAATTTTATACACATTATACATGGCCAACATACCAACAACTAACAATAGCAAAATACTGACATTCGCGGGTGACACAGCTGTACTAGTCAGGCACACTAACCCTGCAACAGCAGTTACATTACTACAGGACCATATCACAAAAATAGAAAAGTTTTTTTTTTTTATTTATTTATTTATTTTACAATTTTACAATTTGTCCAGTAGGACAGAATAGAAAAGTGGCTTCAAGCAAAACAAATTAAAGCAAACCCCTATAAATGCAAACACATTAAATTCACACTGCGAAAACAGAAACCACCAAACATTGTACTAAACGGCACACATATAATACAAACAAGGCAAGGACCTTGGACTTCACTTAGATACACGACTCACATGGAAACAGCATATTAAAACAATAATAGACAAAATACAGATGGCAAGGAGACAAATCTACTGGCTAACAAGTCGAAAATCCAAACTAAGCATAGAAAACAAACTAAAAATATATAAAATGGTCATAAAACCAATCTGGACATACGGAATAGCACTATGGGGAACAACAGCAATAAGTCATATAATCAAAATAGAGGCAATGCAATCTAAAATACTCAGAACAATAGCAAATGCGCCATTCGGAAAGACCTGGGAATACCAATGGTCAAGGAGGAGATTAACAGATGTGCAAGAAGGTACAGAGAAAGAATAGCAACGCACCCGAACCGGCTGGCAGCAGAAACGCATCAAACATAAAAAGAAGATTAAA